ATCGGACGAACTGTGGGAGGGTTTCGGAGGTTTTCCTCTCCATGTAACGCAAAGGCGGGTTACATTAACAAATCCTCCACGAAGGCTAGATTGACCCAATGATGATCCAGGTCGGAGATTCAGAGCCAGTTGTAAAATAAAATAAAGCATATGCTGGGTATTTTTTTAAACCAACTTTTAACTTGTTTCGAATAAGAATAAGTGAATTTTTATAAGAGAATTTTTCGAATAAAAGTAAGAGGATAAGAAATTAGAATAAAAAGCAGAGAATTTTTTTCATCTGTTACTTGATTACAGGCCGAACTGTAAAAGGATTTATTCCATTGTTTTAGTAGCATTGTATAAAATTCAATCTTAAATTTAAATATTCATAACCATAACAGCTCTGATAATGTTCACATACCAATAATAGACCTCTACAAATGTTAAATGCATTTTTATCGAAACTGATTTTTTTCCCCCAACTCTGGAGTTATGACATTATTCTACGAATTTAAATTGAGCTTATACTTTAATCTACTTAAAAGGGGCATTAATTTATCGGGTAAATTTTTTCTCCAACAACTTGTAATGCTTTTGTTATATACTTTAATCGCAATGATTCAATCATCAATGCTTTCACTGAAGTAACGGATCATAAATAATGTTAAGAACCAATGATGATTACAGAAAGGGAAACATTTGTAGCACCACAAATTTGTATTTCTTTTTCTTTTTTTTTAAACATGAAATTGGCGTTGCTGTTGTTAACTTTTTCCTTTTACTATTTATTATTCAATAGAGGTTTTTAAACTTCTCAAAATTTTTATGATTTCTGAGCATTTATTCATCGTTTTAAAAAAAAATACAAATTAATGCCAGTATACATATTTTTCTAATGTTAAACCCACTATTAGTGTTTTGGAAAAATAATAAAAATTCTCCCCGGCGGGGAATCGAACCCCGGTCTCCCGCGTGACAGGCGGGGATACTGACCACTATACTACCGAGGACACGTTCATCGATAGAATAACAAGGAAAAGATTAAAAAGGAAAAAAAAAAAGCACTTTTATCTAACATTTTTATCAGTTAAAAAAGTAGGAAGATAAGGTTTATGCATAGTTTAGTGCTTGAGATTGATAAAACAGGTTCAGCATCTACTACAAAGTGGCAATGGTCGGATATAGTGCCGACCACTGTACTAAAAAAAAAGTTTACTTAAAGTTAAAGTGTACTTAGTAGTCGCTACTTTTTTTCGCAGTTCGTAGTGAAGTGTGCTGATATAAATAAACAAAAAATAGTTTGCAACGATTCCTGGCAACCACTTTTAACGTTAGTTTAGAAAAGAAACGTGATTCTAACGCAACTAAACTAATTTTTTTGAATTGGATGGGTAGAAATTTTCAAGGGATCCGTTAATGGACGCCATGAAAATGACCCTATGGCAGCACCTGAGCGTTAATAGAATTTACGTATTTAAAATCACGTATAACTAATCTATAAACTAGCCATTACGAATAATAGGTCACACTTTCTCATGCTAATGCACACTCGTGAAACACTAATGTTATTTCAAAGAAAGGGAAGGTATTTTGGATGTACTTTTTTTCTTAGAGGAAATAAAAGAGCATTAAACAATTAAAAAATTACAAGTATTCGATAATTTCGCATTTCTTAAATTAAATATTCGTTGTCAAAAAATGTATAAAAAGTTAAAGATCAAATGAACAAATTAAAAAAAAAATGTTTTGGAATAACAAACTGGGCGCATGTAAACGTGAATAAATATTTCGTAATTATTCCCTTATGTAAGCCCATATCTTATTCAAAACCATTTTGGACATAGGCGTAAATTAAAATTTTGAACAAAGTCCGTCTCCTTTAAGTAATGAAGTAGTTACTAAATTCCAAAGTAGTTCGTAATCATTACATTTTTAAAAAAGTAGCTGTGGTTCACTACATTTGTAAAAAAGTAGTTGTCTTTACAGTAAACTACAAAAATAATGTAGTTGTTCTGACCACAAAAAGTAGGTATCTGTAATGTTAATTACTTGCGGTGTTCTCGGTAGTATAGTGGTCAGTATCATTCCCCCCCTGTCAAGCGGAAATTTAAATTGCTTAAAATGTGTCCACCGGCACATTTAAAAATGTGTCCACTTTCACGGCAGTATTGCTCTGATTGCTTGGCCGAACTCTTTTTTCAGATTACTTAAAAAGATTTATGTTTAATGCTTATAATATGGTAAATAATAAAATCAAAATTTTTAAATACAGCGTTTTTCAAGCAGACCAAAAAGGAGAAAATAATTTAATTTTTGTGACAGCTAAAACGAAACACCTGAGGCACATCACCTTCGAAAGTCGCGTATTTTTAGATGGCTTTTTTAAGTATATTACGAAAGTGGTGGGCCGTACATTCTTCGTTTAACAAAAAAGAAAAATCCCAGAAAATAATTACCGGGAAAAAGAGCACCGGAATAAAGAGCACCGAAAAATAACAGCTCGTAAGTATTATCAATGCAGTTAAATATGTTATATATTTAATTATATTAACAAAAATCTAATATAATTAAATACTCATTTGAGTGAAATTTGTTATATTTTAAAAAATAATTAATATTAATTAAGAATTAATTTAAAGTTTACGAAAAGGATTCTTAAAGAGTTCCAAAATTATTCCAAATTTCAATAATTGCACTTATTGCGATATTGAAATAATAATGTAAACTAAAGCTTTTTAGCTAGTTGTTTTTCAAAAAATTGTATTGAATTGTAATATTTCATTGTTTTAAATTTATTTAAAGACTAAAAGATCCTGAGATATTCTGGTTAATGGCTTTATTTGATACTTTATTTGTAATACTGCTATTGTATATTATATAATTACTTTAAAATATATGAAGTATTGAAAGTTATTTTCAATCTACTTCAAAATTACAATAATTAACTTTTTTTTAAAAAAATATGCAAATGATGTTAGAATACTTATTGAATGTCATTCAATTTGGCTTCAAAATTCCAAATGGAATCGGAAGTTAAATTTAAATAATAGTTAATGAGGAGCTTTTTTTTCATGTGCTCTAATAATCGGTTCTTTTTTAATGGTGCTTTTTTAGGCCTTTTTTCCAGTGCTCTTTTGTGTATTTTTTTTCCTTGATTCATATTCTTCTTTAAATCTATTTTGTCCTTCTAATTACTTTAAAAACATGATTTATTTAAATTCTTTACTTAATTTGTTTTTCTTTTAGCTTTTTTCCGTCTGATCGTTCGTTTATGTCGGACATTTATTACTTTAAATATTTATGTTCTATATAAGTAATAAATCATGTTTTGAACGGATGTCTGTTTGTGGAATGGAATGGCTTGACATAGCATGAATGTAATAGAAATTTTTTTAAAGATTTACTCATTTGAACAATTCGATGACAGTTTTTTGAGCAAGCGGCAATATGCATTTTTTAAATCATTTTATATTTGCATTTGCAAGTTGTATTTTTTACTCATTATCAATATTTTATTTATTTTTTAGGTTTTCATTCAAACTATTTTAGAAGTAATTGGTCTACTAAATTTATTTATATACATTTTAAACTAATTTCAACGGAGAATAAAATACGAATCGAGAACTGGGGAAAAATTTATGTTAAAAAAACATAATAATTCTGCAACTTTCCAACAGAAAATTTCTGTTCTCTAAAACTACATAAATCTTTAGCCTTATAAAAATTTACGGTGTATTTGAGGATGTTTTGAGGTGTCTAGGTTGGTTTAAGGTTTATTTGAAATTGATTTCATAAACAACCTTAAAAGATCAACCTCTCAAGGTGTATGAAGTTGTTTTATTCTCACTTGAAGTTGCTTTGAGATTGTTGGAAATCTACTTTAGAGCAACTATTATTTTTGCGGTGTACATGCTATTTTTTCTACACATCAAGCGAATAAGTATATTTGAGGTATGAATAATTTCTTCCAATTGCTGAGCATATGAGGAGGATTTTATGAGGTATAAGTGTGGTAAGTGAATTATTAATGAGGCTAATTTTGGTGCAAAACATATCCTCTGTTTCTACCTCTGCCTTTTTTTACAACTGTCAACCTCAAAAACACCCTACTTTTTGTAAGGGTTGTTAAACTGCATCATAATCTGCTAAAAGATATATTTCTTCTGTTAACGAATAAACTCTGCAACCATTGTTTTAAATATGAATAGATAACAGAACAGATAACAGATGCAGATCGGTTTGTATGTTAGTCAATGAGTTGGTTTCATTTTAAGAAGGTATGAACTTATTGATGGAAAAATTTTACGACGATTTTTTCACACAGGATGATTTTCGATATCATGGAAAAAACACGCAAAAATTGGAATACTTGAAAAAAAAACTAATAAAAAATTTATAAATCTGTTTCACTTTGCAAACCAGAGAGTGTACAGATATTTTCATGCCGAACTTCTCTGAACTACGGAAAATATCTAGTGTAGTGCATACAGATATTTTCCGTAGTATTTTGTTACAAGACATTTCTGTCAACCTATTTCTTCCGTAGCATACGGATTATCTCTGGCAACTTAACTGCCGAAAATTTTTCGCAATTTATCTTATTAAAAAAAGAAAGAAAAAAAAAACCTCTTCTGAGTTTTTTTTTCTAGTCTTATACAGTATATAATGTGAGCACTTTATGATTATGACAGTGTTTTAAGTTAAGGTTTGTCATGCAAATATTTACTTCGAAGTCATGAAAATTAGTAACAATAACGCTTGAATTGAAAACTTTTTCACAAAAATTTGGATACGAAATTTGAATATCAAAGTTAAATAAGTAAAAAAAAAAATGCATTTCTTAAAATGATGGACGATCTATTAAAAACGAACAAAAGAATGGCTCTTACAAAGTTCGAAAAAATCGAACGATTATTAACCTCACTTGAAGAAAAAAAGTTAACACAGGAAGTTATTTTCTCTTTTGAAAGAGTAAACAAGAGAGGGGGTGAAGAACTTCTCGTTTTTTCTTTTCCTTCAGTGTTTCTTGGCTGCCCTGCTCTTCAACTTCAATTATCCTTGAAAAGGGCGACCGTTGGCTTTTAAAAGGGTAAAAGGGATATTTTTCAAGGCCGTTTTCTTATTACGGGGGTAAAAGGATGCAAAAAGGGCCGTTGAACTTTGGACCCCTATTTTACCCTCCGACACCCCTCGACATCCCGGGAGCAGGGGGTAGTTTCGGGCAAGTTCAAATTTTTAGAGAGGGGGAATTAGACAGATATGAGCTCCTCACTCAATGAAAGGATATTTTTATTTTTTGGTGGAAATAAAAAGATAAAATTTGTAATTCTGTTCGTGAGTACAAATTTCTTTTATTTTCGAATGAATTATTTTCATAAAATTATACCAATTGTAATTATTATAGTATATTGCATATTTGTAATTGGTATAGGTAATGACTGTACTTGGTATAATGCAATTATTACTCTCAAAATGAGTAATAATTGTACTATTTTGTCAGAAAGTCTAATTTATTATTTTCGAATGAATGATTTTCAAATTATAACAATTGTAATTGTTATAATATATTGAATGTTTGTAATAAGCATGGTTTATAACTTGTCACAATGTAATTATCATTCTCAGAATATATATTGCAGTACAATTTTGACAGAAAGCGCAATATTAAATTTTTTGATTAATGATTTTTTATTAAATTATAGTGATGTAATTTTTATAATATAGTATAAATTTGTAATTGGCATAGTTTATGCCTTTACTTGTTATAATACAATTATTTTTCACGAAATGGATAATAATAGTACTATTTTTAAAGAAAATACAATTTTTAGTTTTCCAAAAAATGATTTTCGTGAAGTTATAGTAGTGTAATTTTTATATTTGTAATTGGCATAGTTTATGGTCGTACTTGTGATAATAAAACTATTGTACTTAAACTAGACAATGATGTCGCAATTTTTAAAGAAAGTGCAGTTTTTAATTTTTAAGTAAATAATTTCGATTAAATTTCTTTACATCATATATAAATTATTTTACCTTAAAATGATATTATTATATTAAAAAGTAATCATTCTAATTTTGGTTTGAATGCAATAGCACAACAAACAAAAAATATATATATTCAAAAAATAAATTTGGTTTTAGTTTAATTTTAATAGTTTTAAGAATAATTTTAATGTTTTAACAAATATCAATTGTTTAACCTCAAATTGTTATTATTTATATTAATTACTAAGTAGTCATTTTAATTTTTGTGATATGTTTGACTTAAATGATAAACTGGGTGATTTCTTTTATACATAATGTCTGAACCTAAAGTTAGTTATAATAACTCTTTTTAAATATCTTGTAAATAACTTTTATTAAATTGTAATAACTTAAATTTAAGTATTATAAAATCTAATCATTTTAGAGTTAGTTTTTTTGCCTAGATTATATCTTAAATTGATATGTTATTATTGTCACCAATAATACTAAGATTTATGTTCTAATTTTTAAGACAGTTAAGCTATTTTATTCAAAAATTTATTAATAGATGAAATAGCTTAATTGTTTTAAATTATAGCTTTTTATAAGTATTAAATTTAAAATTTTGAACATGTTATATTTTTAATTTTTTATCAAAATTTCTCTCGTTCAATTATGAAGTGATAGAATAAGTAATCTTAAATATACAATAGTCAGTAATTATACAATAATTTTTATTTTTAATAAGGCAGTTAAGCTATTTTACTTATAAATTTATTCATAAATTAAATAACTTAATTGTTTTATTTTATAGTTTTTCACGAATAATAAATCTTAAATCTGCAACATGTAATACTTTTAATTTTTAATCATAATTGTTCTAATTCAATTATGAAAGAATGAAATAAGCTATCAGAAGTAAATAATAAATGACACAATAAATGATGCTTAAAGTAAGTAATTGTAATGAACTTCATTTTGTAATAATAAGTGTATAGATAATAAGTGTTTAGTGTATTAACTACAGTGCATAACTACAGTGTACTAATAAGTGTATTAACTACATAATTTGTAAATGAACAAAATTTTTTTTACAAAGCTCTAAATAAGTTTTTCGCAGTGAGAAATATATTTATTTAAATTATTCCTAAGAAGCAATGCTTATATTATTTGTAATAACATGCATTAATTTTTTTATTAAGTAGCAGTAAATGCTAATAATTTTTAAATTTATTTCAAATACAGTTACAGTGTTTACCCACTGCACGAAAACAAAATGGTTTTATAAGGTGAGCCCAGTTGACACGGATAGAATTATGGTTGTTTCACCGTATCAAGAAAAAGATAATCTAACTCTTTTTCTTAAACTTAACAGTTTGAATATCATTTTTTAATGGTTATTTGACTGCTTTGATTGAATACAGTAAAATAACATCTAAATAAATTGCTATTCAACCATTAACCATTTTTCCAACAGTGTATCTGAAAAATTATTATAAGGATGGACTACTTTAATCCTTTTTATTTGTTACAATAATAACGCGTTTCGTTACATTAGTGTTTTGGATGTGCATCAAAACACTAGATTTTTTTTCCTAAAAATCTTACACGTGGTAGAATATAACTTATAAATTGCTGCTATTTTTTAAGGATTTAAACAAACGTCCGAATTAAACTTGAGAGTCTTATTTTTATTTTGTAAACATCTAGACCAGCGTTTTCCAAATTTTTGCGGCTACGGAACCCTAAATGATAGAGCATCTTTTGGCGCCATCCCAAATAAAATTTATCAGCAGCTGAGCATATGCTAACCAAAGAAAGACGACTAATTATTTTGATAGTAATTATTGTGAAGAAGGAAAATTTTTTCAATAAATGTTTTATCACTAAAACTCTTAAAATAATAGGTTTTATGTTAAACAGCTGAATTCGCATGTTTTCGAAAAAGAACTCACATAAAGGTCGAGAATGCTTATCAACGAAACATAAACTCATCGTTTTTGAATTCGCTCATTTTATTTTGAATTGAAAAGTTCAACAAGAAATATTAATGTAATTTTTTTTCGAAAAAAAAAATTTTTTTTGCTAATATTTTGCTTAAATTTATAAATGTAACCAAAATACAGCAAACATCATAGTTTATTGTTTAAATATGAATATAATTACAGATTTTAAAACTCACTAATGATTTTAAAAAAAACTTGAACTCTCGGAATCCCCGTGATCCCTCCACGGAACTTTAGGGTTCCAGACACTACCCCCCCCCCCCAAAAAAAAAACTTTCCGATTTTAAATTGACTCAGTTAACATAAAGTTCCCAAATCGACTATTTTGATTTTTAAAAAAATTATGTTCTTAAGTTATTTATATAGAACCTTTTTAGTAATTTATGTTACTTTCTGTAACTAAACAAAATTATAAATATGTTAAAAAAAATTATTTTTCCTTTGAATTAACAGCGAGACTAATTAGAGCATAGAATTTGATATAATTGTACACATCATTATGTGATCAAAATTTGTTTTAATCAGATTTATTCTTTAGTAAATCGTTATTGTAGTGGATAATATTGAGCTGATATTCCAACATAAGAGAAAATTTAAATTAAGAAAAGAAAAAAAGAAAAAACATCTTCTTAAACAATAATGAAGACCTTTATCTCTGTCAGTCGTTATTTCCAGTGGTCGATATGTGAAGGGTTAAAATTCCCATGCAATCGGGCCAACCCTAAGAGGTTTTCGTGATTTTCTATTTATAACTCAAACATGGGTTAATTTCACTTAAAAAAGGTGAGTTTGTCCCAATACTCGACCTGTAAATTCCTTTGTCTTTTGGATTGGGTTCAAAATGAATATGCTGAAGAATTGCACACTTATGCAAATATTGATTGCCTCATATCACTACCAAAATTAGATAGAATGTCAGAGAACTTTAGCAAAAGGCAAACGAATTTTTGAGTTTTAATTGTACAGTTCTTGTTAATTTAAGTTAAGTTTGAATGAAAATGAAACAATTCCACCTTTATTCCGTAGATTTTTAAATTAGGAAAGGGTAAATTATACTGCCCGAACGTGTCTACCCCTTCATCCCCTTCCAAATTTCACCTGCTATTTACATTTTTAATTTCAAGTTTCATTAGCATCAGATGAAAATCGCAATGACTCCCATATAAAACGATTCTGAGTTTTAAAATAAATTTCTTTCTGTGTGTGGCAACAAATTCAGTTAATTCCAACTTCGAACTTTCTGTTCTTCTATTGACGTGTGGGTTTTAATGAAATTCTTATGTTTCAAATCCGGGGTTTTAATTCAGACCCCCCGATTTAAGATCAGAATATTTTTATTTATTCCCGAAGAGGGGGGTCTTAGAGGGCGTGATTAAAAGGATTTTTCTATCCGTCCGGAAACCAACAACTCGGAAGTACACAAGTTACTTCCGGAATAAGACAAATAGAATTTGGAACTTCTGGGTAGAATTTCTTTGAATAATTTAGAACTTCCTTGACGAAAAGACACAGTAGTTTCAAAATTTTGAGATTTAGTTGCTCCCTATTAAACAGCTGAGGGAGATGTTTATTTTTGATAGATTTATGGTATGATTCAAGAGTCGATTATTACATTTGTAACAATAAAGTAATAGGGTAGTTCGTAAACTATCATTAGTACGTATGCAAATCTATATTTTTTAATTTACTTCAATAATTATTTTTGGGTTTTAATTATTTAAGGAGGAAAAAATCTTTTAAGTTTCCAAATGAAATATTAAAAAAATTTTTATTTTTTTATTTTTAGATTTGATATGGAGGAAACTTATTATTTGTATGCATTTAAAAGAGTTGTTTAATATTATTTTTAATAAAATTAAACTAAATAAATTAAATTATATAAAAAGTTTTTAATACAGTTTTTTTAAGTTAAGATTAAACTTTTTTTTTTAAAAAAACAAAAGAATAAAGAAAGAAGAAAAACCTTTCACGTTATTTATTATTTATTTTCATGTGAAATAATGTAAAAATATTAGTAATAATTTACATTGCATAAATATTCTATTGAGTCTAATTATGAAAACACGCGAGATGTAGTTTAAACTAAAATAATAAAAGAAGATAAAAATAGTAAATGCAATATTTTCAACTTCTTAATAATATTTATTCCATTATCAAACTATTTAAGTTCATATACCAGCATTTATTTAAATAATAGTTTCTATTTAATGATTAGCATATATTTCTATATAAGTATATATTTCTATATAAGTATATATTTCTATTTAAGTATATATTTATAGATTCATTTAATCTTTTAAATATAATATAAATTTACCGCTGAACGCAGCAGTTTCATTGCATTGATATTACAATTTAATA